AAGGAGTTTCAGTGCTCACATGGGGGGCAGGAGAGTTCATGGGACGACGCTTCTGACACAGATGTACGTCCTGAAGCCACTGAACCTCAGAGGCCTACATTGCTTGAAGTTATCCACATGTTTGACTTGTGACTCTCATGAGAATCTGTTGTAGAGATCATAAACGTGACGTTTCCGCAGTAAATTTGCCATACAGGGCTTCTCTCATAACAGCATTTACTGTAGATGCAGCTGCATAGTTTTCTTCTGTTGGATCCATGAGTAAACATGTAATGAGACTCTGTGTTAACTGCTGGCTTTTTAAAACAGGCTTCCTGTATATGGGATGAAGAAACATATGGTACCAAAGGTGTGGCTTCCATTGTTGGCCGGAAGCCCCCTCGGTGTGTCAGCAAAGGCAGTGCTGCCACCCCCTCCAGGAAGCTCATCTCTGCTCTCCCATCTCAGGTGGGCATCTCTGGAAACACCTCTGCTCCTGAGCTCTGCTCCCCTGGGCTGGAGGAAACTGGCACTCGTATGACTGCCCACTGTGGCTTTCCCTGCAGGACAAGGAGAGCAAGAACCCCAAAGCTCCCAGGTCACGGAGCGTGTACAGGATTGTACTTGCTGGGGATGCTGCCGTAGGGAAGACCAGCTTCCTCATGAGATTTTGCAAGAATGAATTTCAAGGAGATATAAGTACCACCATAGGTATGGCTCTTCTTTCAGTTTGATAATGGGAAAATGACCCTCTTTAGCTTGAATTTTTTCCTTTAGGGACCATTTACACAGACACCAATCTTGGTTGGTGTGTATTCAGGTCAATAGATGAGTACGTATGTCCTTGTCTATAGAACAAGCCTTTTCTGTTTGGCTAATGCCTAATGGTAGTACAGAAAAACTAACAGAGGACGTAGGTATCTGCTTAGCAGGTCAGACTGGCTAAAGCACCTCAAGATCCTGACATGTTACACTCATTCAGCCTGTATTTCCAGATTCCTACTCAGAGCCAGATACTGTAGTAGGTGTAAGGGTACAAGTGAAGAAAGCCAACTAAAATCCCATTTTGCATGCAGCTCACATCCTAGTGGGAAGGAGTAGCAACTGCTTTGGAAAGAGGTGCAGGTCAACACTGGGTGGCTATGACACCGGATCTGCGAACATGCCTGTGATGATAACGATGATACCGATGGACAGTTTGTCATTAGGGTAGAATCAGGCAGACCATCCCTTCCTGTGTTCTGCATCTTACAACAAAGCAAGAGAATGAATACCTTTCTTTTCCCAATTTTTATATTAGTAAAAGGAATCAAAGATAGCTAAATTGTCTCATTTTTTAATGTAAAGATCTATTACTTTGATTAACCAGAAGTGCTATGGCAGACTTACTGACCTCTTCACAGTCACAGACTGTATAAGTTTATGGTTCTCTGATATGCGCCTTGAGATAACAAAGCTGAAAGTTCACTAAGTTCACTTCAACTTAATTTCTAAAAGATTGCAGTATTTGGTTTAGTTGCTAGAGACCATGACATTTTTAAACACACACACACACACACACACACACACACACATGTCACACAAAACGCATACACACATGTGTATATATACAGACACGTGCATATGTGTGTACATTCACAATGTGCTAAGCATACATATATATGCACAGTGTGCACACATATATATGCCTTTATTTATACACACACACTTACAATCTTATGTGCATACTCCCCCCATATAAATATGACTGATTTCATGTCTTCATCTGGGCAAATAGGACACGGGCTTCCCTTTCCATAGATTAAGGCCTTCCCCATGTCTGCTGAGTGGCACAGGATGCAGCTGTGTGCCTGCATGTGGTCTGCTTCATTCTTAGCATCACAATTGTCATACAGTGAGCCTCATTAACAAGTCACCAGAACCTACATGTGGGCTCAGAGGAGGCAGGAAGGAGATGCCAAGGTTCTTCCACCTCTACCATTCCCTGCCATTTGCCCTACAGTGTCTCCTTCAGCATCTCCTTCCTGCCTCCTCTGAGCCCAATGTGGGTTCTGGTGGCTTGTTAGTGAGGCTTGCTTTATGCCAAAAGTTGCTCTCCATGAAGGCTGCGTTCATTCTTTTCTACCAAAACTTTTGCTTGTTGGCTTTTCTCTCATCCAAGGCCATTGGAAAGTAACAAGCTAATGCAATTATTTTCTCTACTCTCATATTCCTTTTCAGGTGTCGATTGTAAAATGAAAACCCTCATTGTAGATGGAGAGGAAACAGTTCTGCAGCTCTGGGATACAGCAGGGCTGGAGAGGCAAGTATTTTCATGATTGATTGGGTTCTTCTTAGGTTTATAAGGACATCCTAGCAGAATGCATGATGTTCTTTATAGCCATGGAGCATTAATATGCCATGGAAATATCCAAAACTATAATCTCATGAGTGCTTACTGATTTTCCACATCTGCTCCTTTTTTAAATATGTGGTCAGTGTGTGAGAAGAAGGTCTTTAGGCTTCTTTAAAGAAGAAGAGGGTGCACTTTCCTAACAAGGGATTTTGGCGAAGAAACACACCAGAAGCAGTGACAAGTGTGAGGTCTGCTTAGCTGTGCATCACAGATATTGGAGATAAGAACCCGCCAGCATTGCTTGGCTCAAGAGAAGAAACACCAACTAAACAGCAGAATCACATCCAGTGATGATACCCTTTCCTGCTAACTCCTTGGGGACATAATCTACTTAGTTGTTGAGAAAGTGGGGGTGCTTCCCTCTGTACCAGGTGCTATTTAGCTGTTGAAATTCAGTGGTGAATGAACAGACACAAATGCCTGCTTTGTAGGGCTAATGGGCTCTAGCAGACTAGAAGCTCCAGCATTTTAAATGACCTGTGGTTGACATGGTCCTAGTTGAAATGGCTATGAAAAACATCACAATAAAGTGAGGACTGGAATATGCGAGTATGTTGTGTCCCACTGAGACCCCTCCCATGGGTGCAACACATCTGGCATGTGGTGATGGCCTGCGTTCTTCCACCTCTACCACTCCCTGCCATTTGCCCTACAGTGTCTCCCTCAGCGTCTCCTTCCTGCCTCCTCTGAGCCCACATGTGGGTTCTAGTAGCTTGTTAATGAGGCTGGAATATTTTAAAATTATGCTTTCACTGTGGTTTTGGGGTTGTTAGCCATTCTTGGAATTGTTAGATGGAGAAAGTGATAGGCTATTCTAAATCACTCAGCCAGATTTTTGTCCTGTTCCCCTTACTGGGCTGTTTGAAGCCTTGGCAAGGGATGTTTCACAGCAACATACTATCAGAGGCTTCTCAGCTGGGGCTGAAATACCATGAGGAAAAAGTGAGCATAAAGGAGACGAAGAAAGAGGCAGCACCCAGCTGGTGTAGTGACGGCATACTGTTCTCCTTCCAGGTTCGGAATTATTTCCAAGTCTTACTTTAGAAAAGCAAGTGGCGTTCTGCTGCTGTATGATATTACCTGTGAGAGAAGCTTTCTTAACGTACGAGAATGGTTGACTATGATTGAGGTAAGGAGGCAAAGTGAAGAACCAGAGAATGACCTGAGGGAGTCACGGCCTGTCCCAGGAAGTTCTGTCAGTCGGCATGACCATGATGAGAAGCCACCAGCATGAACTGTCAGAGAATGGTGCTCCTTGTGGCACTTGGCAGGCTCGCTGTCTTCCATGAGAGCTACACAGGTTCTCTTAAACCAAGGTTACAAGCAAGGGTAGCTTCTGGGAATGGAGCTTCTGAAAATAGAGCTTCTGGGTTCTCCTAACTAGGAGCAGACCTCATGCAATGAAGTGAAAAGGCAGGAAATGCAAGAAATGACAGCCTTGGTCAACAGAGAGATGCTATGGGTAGGGGGTGTGGTCAGGTGTGGGGAGGGGCTTCCTGGATCCAGCATCTGCAAGCTAGCATGGGCGCAGGCCCAGATGCTACACAGCTGTCTTCCTACTAGTCTTCTAGCCACAATGCAAGATCTTCACACATCACAAGATCCCTCCGAAATGTCAGTTGTCACTTTTAACATATGGGGTAGTGTCTGTGGTGTCTTCATTGGATGTTTTCACATTATTTGGCTTAATGGAAGCAATTTTAAAAGTAGAAAATGAGATGACTCCATTTCATGGGCTATCAACAGTTATTAATGAATACAAAAGTATACTTCAAGGCATGATGCAGTAGACCACCTGGTAAACTAGTAGCTAGTAGGACTTTTCAGGTACATATTTATTTGATAACATAAAGCAGATATCAAATTGCTGTAGTGGCCAAATGGACCTGATTCCTTGCTGGTCTCAAATGAGCTTCTGGAATTAATGTTCTCTAACTGACATAATAAGAGAAATGATTGATTTCTATTGGCAGTAAGATTTCGACAATGATACATAAATAAAGCCTTTAGTCTACCAAATCTTTATACATGCAATGAAAACATTTCACATTTTTAGTACTTCAAAAATTTTACATGTTACATTCATCTCTCTAACATCTGAGAAAGGAAAGTCCAGAACACTTTTACTTAGAAAGAGACACCCAAGGGACAGAGGGCATAGGGCACTTGTCTGTAGTATTTGTTTAGGAGTTGGGGTAGAATGAGGGAGAAAGTTGGACCTTCCTACTCACCCAGAGTGAGTAGCTGGTTAATAGAGGATGCCTTTGATGAAAAACGAGTTCTGGAGTGCTGTTCCTGTATATGGGAGAGGCAGCTGCCCAAGAACAAGCAGAACTCATAAAACCTTTTTACTATTAAAGTTTCATCCTTAGTCTTCTTTTTAAATCTTTAGATTATGCTCAAGAAAGATAGCATCAGACATTGTAAAATAGTCCTGATGTCAAGTGGCCCATAGCCAGCTATTGATAAGCAACTAACTGCACATGGCCTGTAACCCTTTCGGCCATTGGTCCCATTTCTCAGAGGCTCTGGAGGAATAAAATTATTCAAGGTGAATTATTCAATTTGTTAATGAGAAGTAGACCCTGTGGGGTATGGACTTGTGCTTTGGAAGAACTCATCCAGCAACTTCTTTGTGGCTCTAATTTGAGGCAATCCTACAAAGACCATTTCTGTGGCCACCAGAAATTGGGTGCAAGAGAATGGTCTTGTCGTTGAAATAGGCCAGAGGGGGCCAGTGAGATAGCTTAGGGGACTAAAGCGCCTGCATAGGCAAGTGCAGGGGCTGGGGTGCGATCCCCAGTATTGCATACTGTACCAGCCCCATCCTCAGGCCTGCTGAACCAGCTGCGGAGTCTGGTCATAGTGCCTTATGCCTGTAATCAAAGCACTGGGGAGGCTGAAAATAGGAGGAACACTATGAATCCAAGCTGTGTAGTGAGATCTTGTGCCACATACATTTTTTTTAAAAAGAAAGAAAGAAATGGGCCAGAGGATTGTAAAGTGTGGTATATTTTGATTGAAAACTACCCTCTTATAAAATCTTATAAAATTGTAGATAAAATCAAATTATGGCCATTTCTTACCTTTACTGAAAAATTTGCACATTGAATATTTAGGTAAAAGCTGAACAGAGAAGCTTGAGATTTCTTTCTGACTTTTACACATGCAAAAATATCTATATACCTGTAATCCCAGCCCTTAGGGAGAATGAAGCATAAGGATTGCAGGTTCAGGTTCCAATTGGACAATGCAGGGAGAACTTGTCTCAAATAACCTTTTAAATCAAGGCCAGAGGAGGTAGTTCAGTAGTTTACACCCTAGGTTTGATTCCCAGAACCTCAAGAATAAAGATACTTTGCTTTTCTGCTCTAAGTACTTACTCTTCTTGGTGGTTGGGGTTTATGTGTCATGGACGTAAAGTGCTTGGTCATCCTGGAGCTTGTGTTCTAGTGGGGGAAACCGACAGCAAACAACAAGCATAAAGATGGGGCAAGCTAGAGAGGCAGCAAGAATGCAAGTGCAGGCCCCTGTGATACAGGAATGGACTGCAGTCTTCATTTGTGTGGTTGGGCAGATGCACCCAAAGGACATGTGTAAACCAAGACTTGAGGGAGGCATCAGACTGCCCCTGTGTGGCTTAGGGAAGCCGTTTAAATGCTCAACTTCTCAGACAGTTCAAGTAAATATCTGATTAGTGATATCCCGGGTGGTCCTGAGGAGATTCCCCAGGAGCACAGTTCCTGAGCATAGAAAGGGAGGCAGCAGCAAGTTTTGGGGAGGGCTTTTCTCTCTCTCCCCCTTTGCTTTCACTATCTTCTGAGGCCTTCAGTAAAAAGCTCTGTCTGAAGATGAAGGAAGTTAAATATAATTTCATTTTACGGCCCACACTTTGTTCCTGTATCAGTGTATCACCAAACTGAATGAGCATCCGGATACTTTTAGACAGAGAGTAAGTTCCACATGTGGATATCAGGAGTCTGCTCTCTTTTTTTCTCCCCATAATTTTATTGAAAAACAGCAATGAGACAGTTTCAAATCAAATTGGTAGGACAGTTTCAATAATTAACACATTGCATACGTTTTTCCTAGTGGTTATTTGCTGCACAAGATGCAGACATGATATCCTATTTACAAACACTATTAGAACAAATCCCTCTATTCATTAAGAGAGTCTAACTATATATCTATCCTAACCATTTTGAAGTCTGCTTTCTTTTTTTTTTGTTTGACAATTAATTTATTTCAACACTATATGAAAAATTATAACATCTCAATGGTAAGGAATTAACTAAACTTATAAAAACAAGGAAAGGTTTTAGTTAAGTTCAGTGAAAAGCACTGAACAGAGTTATCATTGAAAATATAAATTAAAACTATAATATTGTACTTTATGTATTCATTAGAATGATTAAAACTAAATGTTCACCCGAACAGCAATGATGTTAGATTACAGGAACACTCCTACTTAATGATAGTGTAAAGGAATAATCTTACTTTGGAAAAAGTTTTGATAGTTTCTTATAGATGTATATTCTGCATAAGCAACATATTATATCAAAAAATTTAGCATGTATTTTTTTCAGCTGTTAGTTTTTTTCCCCATAATTTTATTGATAAGCAAATAGCAATGAGACAGTTTGCTTTCTTGATTGGGAAGGAGAACCTTGTTTTTCTGCATGGTCGGCTTATCTTCTTTTGTCCTCATCACTGTCTCCCCGGTAGAAAGGGCCTTTTAGCCCCTTCCATCCTATAGATGAGGGAGGCACCTGAAGAGGCTGGTCATGGACTTGCAGTGAGGGTCAGCTGGCAGGTGTGACAGGAGCCCAGCCTTAGCTCTGGTCACCCCTGAAGTGTCGTGAGCCTTGCCTTGGTGAATGCTGCAGTAGCGTGACACAACATATGTTGATCTAGGACAATTAGCTTTGAAATCTATTCCTCCAGATGATTAGCACTTGTTTTTTCTCATATAAGAAACTATTTTCAAACTATTTCCGTAAGACTTTCAGATTTTGCTTTTGTTGTAGAGTAGTGAGTGTGGAAGTTTGGAATTAGTTTCATTGTGTGACAGCTGAAGAATTGTTTTGGTTTTGCACCTGGCTTAATGAAGCACACTTGTAATCAGCATTGTTTGAAGTGAGACTTGCAGAAAATTTTGTGGCCACTCCAGCCAAATGTGCTGTTGTAATTAAGCTTTTAAAGTTGCTGTTGGTATGTAGTGCTCCTCCTGCTAACAGCAAGTAATTATCGGGTGCATAGTTCTTTTGCTATTTAACTAATTACACCGAGTTCCTTTGACCCTTTTCACTAACCCAAGGATGGGACATTGTATAACGGGACCTTGGCTCTTAGAGGGTCTTATGTAACCTCTCTGAGTTTCAGTTTTCTCACCTGTAAGTAGGAAAAAATATATAGCCATATTTAGAAATATTTTGGGGTTTAATGATAATATCTTAAATATAATATGAATATGTATAATATTATAATTGGCAGTAAGACCTGGACAGGGATAATAAATCCTCATTTGTGTCTCTGAAATAGGATTTATATTGATTATGAGTGCAAGGAAAATGTTTCTGCATTTATACACTTTTACTCTGCAAACTGCATGCATTGTTTGACACTCAAGGATACCTGGGCTGGTGGCAGCTGCTGCTATTGCTGTTGCCATCAGCATTGTCGTCACCGTAATTTGTCCAATGCTTGATCCATGCCAGATTTTTCTCTTCATGGTAGGATGCATCTCCCCAGATTGTTCCTATCATGTTGGTTGGAAACAAGTCTGATCTGCGTGACACTGCTGCTTCGGAGGGACAGAAATGTGTGCCGAGGCTTTTTGGAGAAAATCTGGCCAGGGTAAGAACAAAGGGTCTGAGGTGGGAGAGGACAGAGAGCTTGAGTGTCTTTGGAATCAGCAGCCTGCACTTTTACCTTCCTGTGATTAAGAGGCTCTCTGGCTACCCTCACCACGTCTCCAGGGACCGTGTCCTGCTTTTCCTGGAGAGTGCAGTGCCCCATCTCCTGCACGGTGTAAGTAAAGAATAAGCAAGAAGCAGGTTCCTCAAAGAAAAAGCAGCGGCATCCTTCCCTGGACTGAGTATCACTGGCAGAGATGAGCTCAAGTCATCTTGCTGCCTTTGCTCTACCCTCTCACACTGCCCTGGAGCCCTCTTCTGGCCCTGGAACCTAGAGAATAGGTTCTATCTTGGAAAGATGAGCTGGTTTCAGGAGGTTCCCATGCCAAGGGGTAGGAGATGGAATAGTGCCTCATCTCAGTGGAGGGACTCGAAAGCCTTCTTTTGTATATTCTTTTAAAGGATCTGTACTTAGCTGGAATTTGTACTTAGTTGAAATGCACTTTTGGTTATACATTTATATAGGGGATTAAGTTTATTCCTGTGCAGATTGCTACTGTGGTCAGTGCTTCCCTTCTGTCACTGTCCCTGTGCTAGTGTGCTCTGTGGCCCTCTCGTAGCTTGTCTCACCTGTACAAGGAATTCAGATTTACCTCGCTGTACCACACAAATTTAATGTTGATATTGGTGTTTGGTGTCAGGACCAGGAAAGGACTCAGCAGCAAATGTATCAGAGTTTTAACATGAATTTTAAAATGTGGCTGTCTTATTGTTCACTGTTACTGTCTGCAGTTAGAAAACGTTGTCTCCAGTGTTAGACCTACCAAACAAATGTGCACATCTTTGAAACTGTGTAACGCAGGTGCTTAGGTGTTGGCATTGTGTGACGTACATCTCCTGACACACTGAGCAGGCCAAAGAAAAGAGCAGGTGGTTCTCGCGACTGTGTAATGCGCTGTCCGCGGGAGACAGATGCTTACTCGGGGGGTCCACGTGACAGAATGTCCCTCATGAGCCCCCAGAGCTGGAATTCTTGGCTGCCTGCCAGTTTTCTTGCTGCTCAGAGTTCGAAAGATTTGTTCCTTCAGCGTTGACTAATTTGGTAATCACGGCACAAGACATGGATCTGGGAGGCCCGCGTTTATTCTTTAGAATCTTGCTATGATGAATTACTCATTCTCAGTATGAGTTTTATTATATTAAGCAAGGAATATTCAACAGGAAAAAAAATCACAAAAATTAAGTATTGAATTTTTAACATCTATTTTTTTATTAAACATCAAAATTTTTTGGTGTATGAAGTCTGAAAACAGCGCAAGTAAATTATTATAGGAAGATCTTAGTTACTTTTCTCTCTTGTTCCTGGGACAAAATAGCTGATATCCAAAGTTAAAAGGAGAAAAGTTTCCTTTAGCTCACAGTTTGTAGGAGTATCAGTCCATAGTGGGCTGGCTCCAAGGCAGGGTGGCACATGGCCCTGTTCATGGTGGCAGCTCATGGTGGCAGAAGTCAGCAAAAGCAACAAGAGAGGAAGAGGAGATAAGCCTCTTTCTGTCCCTTTTATGTCATCCAAACTGCTGGGATTAGGATTCCAATCTAATCAGTGGACTGATCTAGCCACCCTTAATCCCAGCACCCTTAATCCCAGCATTAAACCATGAATGGGATTAATTTTACTGTTCTTTTTCAGACTTGGTACACAGGCTAGATCCAGTTACAGCAGACTAAACCCCATCGAAAAGTGCTTGAGGCTGTGTGGAGACATCTAGATACAAACCATAACAATGAACTACAGTGATAATCCCAATAGCATTTTCCAAAACAGAAACCTTTCACTGTTCACACCTGAGGCAGCCCACACACAGGGCAGCAGCACATCCCGTACACACCTGTCACTCACACTGAGAACACAGATGTTGTGCTTTCCTGGCTTTTTCCCCAGATTTACCTGACATCTAGTGGTCTTCTTTTGTTAGGAATTTATTATATTATACAGTGTTTAGTTAACAGAAACATAAAATATCTTTTTTTTTTTTTTTTTTTTTAGGGAAGGGTCTACAGGGTGTTCAGGGTCTCACAAATAGACCAGGCTCATAGTGATTTGCCTGCTTACAGCCTCCCAAAAGCTGGGATTGTAGGCATGAGCCACCATCCCAGTCTCAATTGCCATCTCAGCACACCCCGGGGGTGGGGGCAGGGCCAGCACGGCAGGCCCGGGGATCAAACCCCATGCGTGCAGGCGCTTTAATCTGCTGAGCTATTTGGCTGGCCCTAGGAACATATAATATCAATGAAATAAAGTATCAAATTCTTAATATATGTTGTATATTTAGAATAAACAGCAATAATTTCACATCAGCTGTATACTTGCATACAAAATCTAAAAGATAACATCAATAAATTCCTGTGTCAGCTACAATGAAAATACCAATGGAACTCTACCACAAAAATAAGCTTTGCTTCAACTCTCACACCTGACAGTCTTCACACATGAGAACTGCATGTTCCAAGTATTGTCTCTATACTGACAACACGTGTGCTTAGCTTTCTTGCTTTATGTGGCAGTCTTTTCTTTTCTTTTGCAGAACCGGGGATTGAACTCAGGCCCTTGCACTTGCCAGGCAAGGCCATCTCCCTGGCCCCTTACGTGGCAATCTTGTCATTTCTTTTTCCCTGTTTTCTCAGGTGCTTCTTACTATAGTGTACAATATGAGCTTAGCAGGGAAATAAGATTTCAGTAGAATATCAAATATATAATGAGTGTGTAAAATATTTTCACATCAGCTGTGTACTTGCTTTCAAAACCTAAAAGATAACATCAGAAATAGATTCAAATATGAAATACAATAAAAACATCAATGGAATTCTACTACAAAAATAAACCCTGCTTCGACTGTCACGCCCAAGACAGTCTTCACACGTGACAACTGCATGTTCCACACACGTCTCTACACTGACAGCACATATGCTTATCTTTTCCTTTCTATGTGGTAGTCTTATCCCATCTCTCCAGTTCCTGTTTTATCAGGTCATTTCTACTATATTGCACATTATGTATTTAGCAGGGAAATAAGATATCAATAAAACACCATAGCAAAAATGTAATGAGTGCTTACATAGCATTTAGAATCCACATTTTTATATCAGCTATTTGTTTACAAAGCTAATAGTTAACATAAAAATAACCTCGGTGAACTACTATGTAAATACAGAGTTTGCCGTAGAAATCAGCTTTGTTTCAACTGTCATGCCCAAGGCAGTCTTCACACATGACAGCTGCTTACTCCATGTACAAGTATTGCTTACACTGATAACACTTATGTTTTGTTTTTCTATACTTTCTTGTAGGGCACAGTTGACATCTTTTTAGCTTTACTGTTGTCATAGTAGGTCTTTGTGATGCTGTTCCTGCCTCTTCACCCATTAGGTTCCCAATGTGTTCCACAATTTTTTTGTGTAGTTTCCTGGGCAGAAACATTTTGATTTTCCTCTGCTATAAATGATCCCTTATGAGCTCCAGGCCCAATTCTCTAAGAAAATTTCTCCGTGGTATTTTGCACCTGTTATTTTCTTTGTAAATTATCAAGCTATTTATACCACACATGTTTGGGATCAAGTAAAACACAAGTATTGGCCAATGTTTTGTGTTTCCAGTGACATCATAGTTGCTGCATTCTTCATCAACAATATGTGCTCCATCTTGGATTTGTTGTAGAAGGTCTCTGTCTCAGGCTTCCACTTTGTTGAGGTTTCTCTATCAGTATTTCCATCATGATGCATTGTTAGCATCGGCAGTACCAGTGTGTTTTTCTTTGCCATGTACTAGGCCAATTTTTCTTTCTGTAGTCTATATTATCTTTCTGCAATCCACAGTTTGTACTATACAAATTTCTGTTTTGAAATTGTAATGTTCATTCAGAATTTCTGCTTTCTTTGTGGATATAGTTCCTACACTAGTCAACTTGTGCTCTGTCAGCAAATGTTCCATCACGTGGAAACTGGTAGGCTGGTTGTTGAATGTTACATTCTGATTTGGGAGATGAGAGCACTGAATCTCTTCACAACATCATTATTGTAGGAGACACTTCCAGGTCCTCGTCTTGGTCTAAGAAGCCAATATTTACAATCCCAAAGTTATGTTATTGGAATACCATCAAGTTGACTCCAATCTACTATTTACAATGCAACCCACGGCAAAAATAAAGACACTAAATTATATTTTCAATCATCGGGGAGTTAAGGGGCTCTAAGTCCAGCCACGAAGATGGCTTTTTGGAACCGATAGAGCGACCCAGGGCCTCACCTGGTTTTCATTCTGTGGGGGAGTGGCTTGAGGAAGATTGACTGAGAATTGTGGGAAGTAGGTGATCATTGTGAGCTGAGCTGGGTGTGTGGCCTAAATTTACCTCTGTGATATGCAGAGAGGATATGCAGAGGGAGTAATCTGCATTATATAATATCTAATGTTTTGGTAAGTCTGTTGCTTCAGCTTTGATGTAGTCTTTCAAGCCCCAGGAAGTCATTGCTTCTGTCTCAAGGCTCTATCCCAGCTGGCAGCATGGAGCATTAGCTCTACCATCCTGTCTTTTTTTATTTTTATTTTTTTAGTGGAACTAGGGATTGAACTCAGATCCTTGCTTTTGCCAGTCAAGCGCTTATCCTACTGAGCCATCTCCCCAGCCCCTACCATCCTGTCTTGACCCAACTCACATTCAAGAGCAGTAGGTATCGGTTACCAGAGAAACACGCACGCCACTTTTGAAGACTATCACCAGCACCTCAGCTAGACCAATACACATTGCTTAAGGCCAATTGAAGGATAAACAGAAGTCCTAGCCAGCTCTGTACATAATACAAGGAAATAGGGTCAGGCTCAGTCAAAATGGAGACAGACACTCTTCTTTCAAGGAGAGCTGCTCAGGCGGTCCTCTACAATTATGTTTATTACTACAGGAATAACAACTCAATGTTATTGTTATATAACATATAAATGCCTTCACATTTACAAGGGCACAAATTTTTATGTCATATTTTGACCAATTGCTTTTCAACAAGTCTTTTACATTCCTGTTATGACTGTGAGAAATCCCTGCTGAGTACAGCAGATCTGTGAATGCTTTCAGTCAACTAGTCAGAGGTCATAATAGATGAATTTTTGAACATAGCTTTTAGTATATACAGAACATCTTACAAGCACTTCAGCCTTTGTGTATTTCACAGCATTTTATAGCATTTTGTTCATTACAATCCCCCATCTTGAAATGGCAATGCTGGCATTCTGTCCAATACCTTTTACCCGTGGCAAGATCCTCAGTATATTTTGAACATAATTCTAACTTGGGATCAATCCATTTGGTTGTGTGGCCATTTCACAATATTTTGACTAGTTAAATATGTACTCCTATTTTTGTTTTCTTTATTATCTGAATCCAGAAGGCCTACATTGCCTCTATTTGATCAGTTGATTCTTACTCCAATTCACTATCACAGGAACTTTGGCTCACCAGATAACATAAAGTCATCGTCTTCATGACCCTCATCCACCCACAAGCTCTTGTATTATGAAAGCGTGTATTTTACCCCCATGGATCATCATCATGCATGCATGAATAATCTGATACACTTTTCTACTTTTGACCTCCTCCAAAATTTATAAAACTCTCTTTTTTATTACACAACTTCTTTTTATTGTGTTTAAAATAACAAAAAGTGAGTGAGGGCAGCTCTAAAACAGAATGAACAACATTATCATAAATAGCATAATTACACTATACATACACATAAAAATATAGATGTAATTTGTACAGCTTTCCAGGTTAACAGACCTATATGTTTTCACAAGTTTTTTTTCTGCTGAAATTGTGCAACCAGAAGGGTACCACAAAGAAAATGAAAAAAGTTAACACACAGATAATGGTTCTTAAATACTCTGCAATAAAAGGAACCAGCATTCCATGGAGAAGAAATTGATTAAAAGAATGTCTTAGACATAGAAAACATGGTTTGGAGCAGCTTGTAATGATGGAATTTTTTAAACAATGTCAAAATTATGAGAACAAAGACATTTCAAAATGATTTAAGAGCCAAACTGTAGGAATATTTAGGAAAATACTGTCATAGCACAAATAATAAAAGTTATACAGGTTCCATGTTTATATAAAATTGAATAAATGAATAGATTATTTATACAGATTACTTCCAATTACCAATGTAGGACAACAAAACAATAAAAAAATCCTTAGCAGAGCATCATAATATAAATTTTCCTACAAGACTCATTAATGGATATTAAATTAGTAAGCAAATGTTTGAATGAAATAGGATTTCATTTGGTGCCTTTTGAAAAATATCCTCTCATTAGCCTTTATTACAAAGAAAAAGTACCACATTAAAGTAGAGAAATGGGGAGAGATCTCAGTAGAATAAGGGCTTGCTGGACAAGTGTGAGGTCCTGAGTTCAATCCCCAGTACCACAAAAAAAAAAAAGAAAAAAAAAAGAAAGAACGGCTGGAGGCCACCTTACCCACGCAATGGAGCTTTGCACCACCAGTCATATGACAGGCACAGCTGGAGGCTACTATACAGACAGGCTCCAAAGGTCATCACTTGCAAAATATTCTAGACATCTGCAAAACCATTTTGAATTTATATAAAGAAATTATTTAACAAGTATAGTACTCTTAAAAGTGATCATGAAACACAACAAAAGGTAGAAACTGACTGTTTTGGAGAATATCAGAGGACATGCAAACACCAGCACCCAGGTGGGCCCTGGAAGACACAAGGTACCGTGGTGGAAAACTTGGCAAAATTATATGAAGTCTGCATCAGATGGAAGTTGATATGACTGATGCTAAGAGTTTACTTTTGGTGATTCATTGTTTACAGAGCATGAAAATAAAGAGAAGCTACTTGAGACATCTAAGAAAACCATGATTTTGTAAATCTCTTTTTCATGTACCGCTATACTGAATTGGACTATTTCTACCAGAAAGATAGGAAGAGTTCTTTTTACAAATCCTGGAGTTGTGTGGTTCTATCAGACCCTCTCTGGTGCTCAAGTATACATACACAAAGCACAGAGATTACATAAAATGGGTAAAGTCCCATTTTGCCACTTCTGCATGTGAGCATGTGTCTTCCCATTTTTCATACCAAGTGGAGAAGTACATGGATTGCTTTCTGCATCCCTCAGGGAAAAGCCCTGTGCTGCAACCAGCTACTATTATGCTCAAGTACAAATTGACAGTAGAAAGTAAGGACAGGCCCACTGCCCCCAGTCTTATGTAACTGGGGCTAATGTAATTCATGGCTTTACCCCCTTGAAAGGCACTCTGGTATAGGAATTTATCCTATACCATTTCCTGGGTGGGAAATTCTCAACACTAACTAGATACACTCATTTTGCAATGCATGTAGATATTCTGTGGATTTGGGGGCTGTTAGGTAAAGGCCTCATTGTGGAGTCTTTTCCCTTTGTCCCTGTTCCACAACAACCACAAAATCCTCCCATGTCCCACAGAGAAATACTTAGCTCACACCCAGCTCTGGAGTATACCAAATTCTATTTTATTAAAAGGAAGTGTCTAGCTTGTTACACAAAGACACACAAATATAACTCCATCAAGTACAATTATGACATGTGTTATGCCAAAACTGTAGTACACTGGGGAGTTTAAGACCAGATATGGACTTTTCAGGGTTAGAAATTAATTTCAAGGAAAGGTTACCTTAAAATGAAAATTTAAGTTAGAGACTGGTGCAGAGATTGGTGGAAGTAGAGGGTGGCCTAAAGGGCAGGTAGAAAAGTCCTAAAGTCTGTGGGAGTTTGGGGCACTTTAGAGTTTTGTGAGTGAGGGGATGTGGTGGAAGATAAACCTGGAAGATTGGCCAGAGTCATATCAAGCCGGACCCTGTTTTCCGTAGAAAAAGTCTTTCAATGTTACTCGAAGAGGAAGGGGAAGGGTCCTTGGAAGACCTGAAGCAGAAGACTAATAGGATCATTGATCATATATTCACAGTATACCTCACTGCTGGGGGGTTGAATGACACAGGACTAGAAAGTGGGCCTAGGCTTTAGCTGCTAGACTCCAAGAGGAGAGATGGTTGTGTGCAGGAGAATGGGGCTTCAGGGCTGCAAAGAGCAAACTTATGATGGATCTCCCATCCCAAACTATGTTATTTTATCTCTCGTAAAGTTAATAGAGAACATTTGATATAGGAGGCATGTGACTATTGGAAAAAAAATCTTAAAACATGAGTTTTTACTTCTTTTACACAAAATAAAATTCCGCTGACTTGGAACCATTCATAGATTGATTGTGCTGAGACATTTTCAAAGTATTGAAATGCTAAATTTGATTTCTTGGCTATTACACTCCATACTGAACAGGAAAATATTTTAATTTATTGATTTTAATAATTAAAATTTTAGGGAGCCTGACTAAAGGCCTTACTGAATCATGTATGCTTCTTTTCTACAGAATTATGGAGCATTATTCTGTGAAACAAGTGCCAAAGATGGTTCCAATATCGTGGAAGCTGTCCTCCATATTGCTCGGTAAGATTTTGCTCGTGTGTGTGTGCGCACGTGTGTGTGTGCGCACGTGTGTGTGTGTGTGATCAGGGATGGAACTCAGGACCTTGCGCTTGCCAGGCAGGTGCTTATGCTGCTCAGCTATCTCCCTGGCCAGATTTTCTGTGATTTTAAAGAGAAAAATATACCAGTAACAGTAAAAGAGTTTCAAAACAGGTTCGTAGGAGAGTTACAATAATTAATACATTGTGTATTGTCTTTGTAGTATTCAGCACATTAGATACAGGCATGAATTTTCATTTAGCTAATGCATATGTCAAATGTCTTGATGATAACATGCAGCTAGAATATACGTTGGAAAGCACTGTCCTGTCTTTCAGTCATGGTAAGAGAAACAAATGCACATGGACATCAGAGAAACTGTGGTGCTGCTTGTTCACCGTCAGCACCCACAAATTATCTTTCTTGCCAAAAAAGACAGGTGGATCTGTAGTGCTGACATTTCAGTAAAATGTTGCCATCAAGCTAATAGATGACGCGGGTGATTCTTCACCAGGAACCAGCTTGGTAAACATCAGGAACTATGACAGTTAAAACTGTCTACTGTGACATTTTTCTGGGTAAAGGGAGAAAAAAAAAACCCACCAAAACAAATCGTATATAATGCCAGTTAGCATCACTCTGTCAAGATTATTTCTAGGTAATTGTTAAGGTAGTGATATTACTAATAACATTGGGGGCATAGGTTAGAATGAAAATTGCATCCCTGACCGACTTGGGTGTAAACATTCTTTTCTTTAATCCTTGGAGTGCTCTTAGTTTGGGACATTACCTGCCAAGGCTTTGCTTGGTCTTTCTACCCCAAATGAAAATATGACTCTGTACTGGCCCAAATGGATTATATAGCATTCCCCAAAGGGGGAAAATGCATAAATCAAATGCAGGATACTATCTAGTTAAAGAAAAAACAAACACATGATTTGAAGCTTAATTTTTTTCTAATTGAGATTTTATAGAAATAGTTCTTCTGATAATTGACCTCTCCTGCTATTAAACATTGAGAATTAAAATACTTGGCAGTTTTTTTTTTTTTTATTTTCTGGGTACCAGGATCAAACTCCTGACCTTGCACCTAGCAGGCAAGCACTTATGCTGCTGAGCTATCTTGCCAGCCCCTTGGGGATATTTTCAATGGTGCTTTTCAATGAATGATTTGGTGTCCCAGGGTCAAATGAACTAGACCCTGTTAAAAGGGGGTAATGTTGGGTCCAGGCTGGGTGGCTTCTCTCCCAGGAGCCAGTGAAGAAACAGGTCCTGAGGTGTCCTAACTGATCTGGGTTTGTAGTAGGCTTTGGTGGATGTCCTGGCTCGCACTCGGCATCTTCAAGTATTTTCATCTTTAAGATAAATGGGCACTTCCTTTTTAAAAGCATGCTAAATGTCTTCTTTTTTTAAAGCAGTAAACACTGCCGACTTTGACTGTAACTTACAATAGTTAGAAAAAGACGAATAGTCATACCTTATAGATTCAGCTGAATTATTGCTAGGTTTTTTTTTTCTTTTAGTCTGTGATTAGTAGTAGAATCATAGAGTCATATCACATTTGTCAAAAAAGAACCAGAGAAGCTGGGGGTAGTGGTGCACACCTGTGACCCCAGCACTCTGGGAGGCTGAAGCAGGAGGATCACAAGCTTGAGCCCATTCTGGGCAACCTGGTGACTTAGAAAGACCTCTCTGTAAATCAAAATGAACAAAATGGCTGAGAATGTAGCTCAGTGCTAGGCCCCTGGGCTCAGAAGCTTTGAAGTTTTCACTGTTTCTGATGTTGGATTTGTAGATTAGGGATAATCAGCTAAGTTCTATCTGTACATTCCAAAATCCACAAAACTTCTAGTTTTGAAACCCATGTGTTCCCTATGCCTGAGCTCTGCATAGTTGCTGGCTGTGTCTGGGCAGCCTGGGAGATTAGTAAGGGGAGACTCAAAGTCCATCCTTTAACCCTAAACAGCGGTGGAGTGAGCAACAAACTCCTGACTTAAGGGAACTAAAGTTATGGAGAAGGATGAATAAAATGACCTTGAAGCTCCTCCCAATAGTGACACACACGACTCTACCAAATAATCATATTTAATGGTCAGTTGTCTCAGGAAAGCTCAATGCATTCCAAGTGTTGGCAGGCACAGTGTGGAATCGGTTCTGCATCTATGTTATCTTGAGCTGCCCACGTCCTCCTTGCCATCTGCTTCTGTATGGCCTGTTGGGGAAGGCTGGCTGGGCCTGTTTATGAGGAAGTGTAGACGCCGGGGTTGCCTTGATTTACTGAAAGCACCTGGTGTGCAAAGGCATTTTGATAAGAAGGCTGCAGAGCTGTGCAGCGTTCAGGTCATATTTGCTTCTCAAGCTTTAGACAGTGAAATTGACAAGCTTGTTTTGGACCACCTGTGGGAGCTTTCCTTGTATTGCCACTGCGTTATGGCCTATTCTGGATCTCTAATTATGTTAGTGATGTGTTGAATATTAAAATCATAAATAAAGCAAATGTATGAAGACTTTGCTTTATTCTTCACTTTGAGATTTGCTTTTCAAAGTACTGAAGTCTTAAATGAAAAAGTTCTGGTCTCCACAGGTAGAAAAATCATTTTAAGAAGTTTCACAGCCTTTAGAAAATGGCACATTATGTAAAATACTTAAGGCCTTGATTTACGTCTCCTGGGGTGATCTCAGTGTGGTCCGCTGTGCTGCCCGTAATGTCCTAAAACAGGAATGAGAAGACCATGTGGCTTTATGCTGTCAGAAACGGAATTTGATTTGGAATGGTGGGTAATGCATTTGGTTAATAGCTTGAGCCACTTTGCCTTTTCTTGGAAAACCTCTCACTCCCAGGTAAACGTCCTCCTAGAAGTGCAGTTTCCCTGTTGGGCAGGGATGCCATTTGCCTCAACCATTACCCTGTTAGTAAATTTGCGTCACCAGAACTACAGGCTTGTTTGTGTACTAGGTTCAAGCCCAAAGGGTATTTAGTTGGCCAACAGCCTGAAACTGGAGAAAAACATGAAAATCTCAGGCTAATATACCAGTTGAATGCTGAATGCAAGAACAGTTGAATCATTTAAAGCATGGCTGTTTTATTGTTTGTATGTGAAAATTGTCCATATTTTTAACAATGCAGGTAAGCACATACCAGTTTTTAGCGAGGTCACTTAATTTCCTCAGTGTTAAATCCATTTTAGATGTTTGGAATTGTATTGGATTTCTTTAAATTGGGATATACCTGCATTTTTGGTAGATTAAAGAACATTGAAGGCCAGAGGAAAGGTGTAGGTGTGCAATTTCCCCCTTAGTATTTGCTTTCAGGTTCGATGATGTGTTCATTATTATGGAAACTTACCAAATACTTAGCTCTTTGAGGTTCAATATGTCTGGTTGTCCCCTGAAAGCCTCATGCAGTCATGGAGCAGACTTCTAGAGGTTGTGATTAATTCATAATCCAGTACTGGGATTATGGGTGTAAATGTTGCTGGGATTATGGGTGTGAGTGCTATACCTAGCCTGGGGCAGATAACCTGAAGGCAATATAAAGGAGACAGACTTGCTCTCTGTGACCATTGCTGCCACTGCTCCTCCCTTTTGCTCTTGTGGTTATGCTATTTTCTACTCCATGAATGGCTGCCCTCTGCCATGTGCCCGTCTGCCTTGGAGCCAGCTGAGTATGGACTGAAACCTCCACTAACTGTGAGCTAAATGAATCTTTCTTTCCTTAATTTTGGATGTTAGGTATTTTGTCCCAGCAATGACAGAAAAATAACTGATCTGGGAGGTACAAGGTAAGCTTTGCACTTTAATTAGAGGGCACAGATAAAAATACACAGCCTGACAGCCATGTGATTTGTAGTTAATCAAGGTCACTGGACTTTCCAGAAGGGAGAGTTTTGAGTTACTCATGAGGATGCTGTCATTAGTATAGCACTTGGCAGGTCCAAACTTCAGGAATTAGAGTATTCAGTCAGCTTTATCAGTGGCACAGCCGGCAGAGTCAGGACTCACGACTACCTCAGTCGGTGGCTTGCCAGGCAGGCCTGGTCTCTCCAGGACCCATTTGCTCTCACTCACCTGTTCCCTGCTGGTATCTTCCATTCCTATGGATTCTGAAATCACCTCCGGCTGGTGATATGCAGCTTCTGTATTTGGAACCACTGTTTCCTCAAACAAGTGACCCAAGCATAGTTTGAGTCACCAACTGGAAGCTGCACTAGTGGAATGACTCCATATATCCAAATCCTAATGTCTGTCTGCGTCTTTACCTTGTTCCTTGTTTTCTGTTGCTTTTGTCAAGAATCTAGCAAAATTGGAACTAAAACCTGGTCACTCAGACCCTGTCTTGGCACTGTGCCATTCTACTCTTCCTTCCGTATCCCTCAAGTGGGTTCCGAGTTCTGTGTACTCAGTGATGGTTGTGTACTTCATGTGATTCACACAGCCCTCTCCTCCTTTCACCCAGGCTTCAGATTTCCTACCTTGGTTAGTATGTAAGTTTCTGCCTCAGGTCTTCTCCACTATTCAATCATCCTCTACCCTGATATCAGTGGAATCCTTATAAATGAAAGTCCAATTACTATTTTTTTTCCCTCTACCACATACTGGTGTCCTACTTAAGGTACAAAGTCCAGGCTCCTGAGCTGCATGGCCTGGCCACCCCTTTCCCCAGGACGAAGGACAGTCTGTAGACACAGCCACCTCTGTCCAGCCATGGCCATGCTCTTCTATGCCTCAGCCTTCATCCCGCTGTTCTTGTCCCTGGATTCCCTTCCCCAGGTAAGTTCCTGTTACCTCAAGATTCTCATGCCAGAATCTGCATGAAGATTTGTAGATGCTGCCACACTTGGGGTGGAAGATGCTCCCTAGGCAACTTATCCTTCAGTGCTTAAACAATTGCCTCTCCCGTGTGGCTGTCTAGGTAAGGACCCCACAGCCCGGCATAGACTGGGCATTTGTTAAACAACAAAATAACAGGTAGAATTTTCTGTTCTCTGTAACAGATTCCCACACATGGGTACATCCTACACAGTAGTTTGAACAATGCATGTTCATATGACAGTTCCAGAGGCAGATGTCTAAACTGAGTGTTTTAGGGTATCAAAGGTTGGCTCTTTCTTTTCCTTAAACTGTGTTGTTATTTTTTTTATGTGTTATGTTTTGTGTCTAGAAGTTCTCCCCAAAGCCTCATGCAGTCATGGGGTGGGCTTCTAGAAGTTTTGATTGATTCAGGGTCTAATGCTGGGGTTGTGGGTATGAGTGCTACACTCCCCCTGGGGCAGGTAACTTCCATACAATATAAGGGAGGGAAAGAGGCTTGCTCTTTGCAGCTCCTCCCTCTTTGCTCTTCCTGCTTTTGCTGTTTTCTGTTGCCATGCACTGCTGCCCTCTTCCGCGTGCCACCCTGCCTTAGAGTCAACCAAGTACGGACTGAAACCTCCAAGAAATATGAGTGAATAAGCCTTTCCTTTCTTAATTTTGGGCATCTGGTATTTTGTCTGAACAGTGAAAGAAAAGTAAGCAAGACACTGCATTACCTCATATGTGAAGTATGATACTTAAGGTGATACTGTCCCCCTTTCCCCTGCTGGGTGGGTACAGTTCCTTTACAGTTGTCAGCCTTGGCTGGATCTCATGATGCACATGATGTCTGGTAAGTGAGGAAAATGTGAAAACATATCAGTTATGAGCATCTTAAAGGGAGAGTTAGCTCCCATTTGTTTCCTTGCTAAGATATCTTTTTATTTTTTCCTTTCAGTATTTAGGGCAGGGTCTACAGGGTTTTCAGGGTCTCACTATGTAGATTGGACTTAGTGATCTGCCTATATTCAGCCTCCCAAGCGCTGGGATTACAGGTGTGTGCCATCACACCCAGTCTCAATCACTGTCTCAGCATGCCCCAGGGCCAGCACAGCAGGCCCAGGGATCAATCCCACCAGCCCCTGTGTCTGCCTAAGCAGGCACTTTAATCCGAAAAGCTACTTGGCCAGTCTGTCT